AGAAAAAAGAAATTCAGAAGAACTATCATAAGAGGGAAAGAATAGTAACATGGGAAAACGTGACGATTTAGTGGATATGGGAGGTCAGAAATAGTGAATGCATCCATCTGCACCACTGAGAACGACTTTGAGTAGTATCACGCATAGCCTCCAACCACTGGTTCTTAGTAATTTGAGGAAGCCAACAAGGAAACCTACACCCCCTCGTGGGGTTCTCTTCAAAGCCTCTGCTTTTCTGATAATGCACATTAAGCTGACTCATCCCTCGATTTATGTATTACCATACTTTGAGTATTATGTTTGTTTGTTTGTTTCTGAGCTTTTAGCCAACTAAAGTTTCATCCATGATGTGAAGATGGCCAAAACCATGATTCTCATTTCTGTCATACCTTCGGTGTTCGGCTTATTTGGATCACAGCTTTGTTAGGCGGGTCAGTGCTAATCATTATGGTAGGTAACTCTGACACTAAACACCAGCCAAACTAGTACTCAACAACTTTCTAGATGCTTATGAAATTTACTGATGCTATGCAGTTTCTCTCAGACACCATTTGATTGATATCGGGTTTCTTGCTCTCTGTGGTTCAGATGAACATAAACAGATCTCGACTCTTGTCAGATGAAGATGCGGGTTCCACCTTACTCAAGCTGTAATCAACAGATCTCACGGTATAGATGTGAGTACAAGCCGAATGTAGACCATCATATTCATTGTCCAGAAAAATGAACCGACACTCAAGGATTCAATGATTGTAAATGTGATGTTCATTTCAGTCACAATTTACCTTTGCATACTACGTTCATGATGTTTTATAATTGTTAGTCTATATATACACTCTGAAGAATAGGTGGCTAATTTTGAAAATACCTTAGTCTCATTTTTGATTTCAGTCGAATTACTTTAACTGTACGTGTTTAGAATGATTCTGAAAACATGTAGAACAAATTTACCACATTGTAAAGCGAGATTCCAGTTTGATTGAGAATTTCAATTGCAATAGCATTCCTGTTGATTGCAACCGGTCTGCACTCCACTGCACAGACATAGATGACGAAAGGAGAATGGTTATTTTGGTAGTTCTATCTCTTTCGTTCACTGAACATTCTGGTTTAGCAGAAGAAAAACTGGTGACCACAGATAAACTGTCGATTAGTAAGTAATCTTTCGGTGCTCACATTTGACTGATATACTGCATTGGCTAGGTCGCACACTTACGCTACAGAACTTCAAGACAAGCTTGCATTATTATTTGTATTGTTATTATTCATCCTCTGGGGTCGGAGTGGAACATCAGAGTCTGTGGTATGCTTACATAGAATTCGCTTTCAGAGATTACAGACTAAACAGTTATTAAGGGCATTTAATTGGGAAATATATGTTGTTAGAGTAAATAACTACTTTCTTCAGACTTCCAACGATCTTAACCTTTGAATATGAAATTTTCGGATACATTACAGTAGCCAAGTACATCACAAGTAGGTTATAGCAGAAAAAAAATAAACTTGAGCATACATCCTCCTCTCCTGTGCACATTTACAGTTTTAATCGTTTTAGTATAGTAAGTAGTATCGTAAGAACTATAACGATTTTCCCTTACTAATAAATAAAAATTCTTATTTAAACGTTAAGCCATATGGAACATTAAAGTAATTACGCACCGTTTCATATAATCTAGTGTGTTTTCAGTGTTATTCTGGAGATTTCTTCGAACAGGTACTTGTATGAATCAATCAGGTCACAGAATTAACGAAAGTCTCTCCTCTTAGTCCACCAGACTTACTTAATGCAATATGACTATTTCCTCCTACCTAACTATGTGTATATCCTCTTTTTCAAATAGTTTACATTCTAGCCTATTTCATTGTTATTCTGAGGAAAACTAATACTCTTCCACTGGCATCTTTTGTAAACAGAAGATGAATTCTCATTTAATTCAGGTCTATTAATTTTATTATTATTATTATTATTACATGTCAAAAATAAATCAATATTGGCATAATCGAATCTATACAGTCAGAAATTATGGTAAAGTTTTTTTTTCTTCATGTCATTTTACGAAAAGCCTGAAGCTGATGTACACACCCACACAAACACATGCACATACACACCGGGAGATACACTTATTCATTATTTTCACTAATTTTGGTTATAACAGTCTATGCTAGGCTTTATTTGCATTGCAAATTATTTTTATTTTTATGGATAGTTACACAACCATCTACATTTACTTATAGTTACGATATGTATATGTACGTGGGTTGAAACCGGGTAGACGTTGAAGACAACAACCAATTTAGTGGTAAATTCTAGTGTGACTATTATTATTATTATTATTGTTATTATTATTTTTCTGAAAGATCAGGGCTATATTCCATTTGAATCATTTAGTATGTTAATCTATAGAACAGGTGGTGGCCATTATTTTTCTACAACTTCTAGTGTAAGATGTAATACAAGGCAGAGTCTGTCAACTTTTATTTGTTAGAGTTGTATGCCTGCTGCTATCTTACCATACGCTTGAAATTACTTATCCCCTGATGATTTCAACTGTACTCCATGCACACACACACACACTTGGAAGAAGTAGTAGAAGTATGCAAACAAGGGTTACTAAGAATCAAAAGGAGCTGTTGCCTATGTAGTGACAACTTATATGAATTCATGTTAAAGTGTGGTTTTGAATAAGGTGATGTGAACACAACAATATATATATGTCAGTGTCAGCAAGTATAAAGTGAGTTACATAGCTGATTGTGACATGTTCCATATGTTGCCTTGCATATACATCAGATAAGATATGATTACAATGTAAACTGATGGGAGTTAAATACACATTAGCATTAGTAACCAAATGTATTAATTTGATATTTGTCAGATATATAGGTCACAATTTTTGAAAAGATCTATGCACGTATACCTTTCAAATAATCCAAAAATAGGTTAAAATAGCTTTGGATGGCTTGCTAATCAGTGAAGTTAATGCGAATGATTTCCACTGAATACAATTTATTCAACTGCTGTGTCATTATTCACTGTATTATTGTGCCTCATCGCTTGGTGCAGCCGTCAATTGGTTTAACTTACACAGTATTAACAAGAGGAAAAGATAAAGAGTATAACTAGAAAATATTATTCTTCATCTTTAGACAGAATTTGCCGAATCTTCAAAATCATGTGCATCCTTTAAAATAATGTGGAACACTGACTACACTGTTGTTGTTATCCCCTTAGGTCCCGAGTGGAACATAGGGCTTCACCAGCACATCTACATTACACCATCTTCCCTACAGTCACTTTCACCTGCGTACACAATCTCCTCCATATCACCCTAGGACCAACATCCCACTGGGCGCTCAATTCCTTCTCACGTCCCAATCGAAGGCCTATCTGACAAGCGACATCACTCAATGGTCTCCTCAGTGTGTGTGTCGTATCCACCTTCATTTATCTCGGAATATTCTTTGGGCAACTGGTTCTTGACTGATTCGTTCCCACAGTCTCCAGTTGCTAAACGTTTCTGACTGACCATCCGATCTTCACTATCAAGCTAAGGAAGACAACTGTTGATGAGAGCCCACTTTAAGTTGTTCGAATAGCTATCAGTGACGCATGAACTAAGTTTATGGACTATGTAGAATAAATGACTGATTGAACACAAGTTTTGAAAATCCAAATGATGTTGTTCATATATGTCCAAACCAAGTTCACTTTTAACAGTTTGAAAAGATTTGGGCATTGGGTATATGATATTCATTATAATAAAGGTTTTCTTGTATTTCCCAATGAATAGAAAACAAAACCATATTGTTTTTTTTACTGACGTTTCGCTATTTAATGCTAATAGCTTTATCAAAGTATTATTAAACCGGAATTTACAAAATCTCAGCATATATATAACAAAGAGTTAAAGGGTGAGAAAATAGACTTAGGTCAAGTTAAAAGGGCACATTGAAAGTTAAAATACCAATGAAGATCACTAAACCAAATAACAAAGGTGATAGTATATCTGTTATCATATCAAAACAAAGTTTACTAACTTGATCATCGTTCGTCAGTTTGGGGTCATTTTTCGTTGTCAAGTTGGTCAATTGGTAAAGATAACAAAACCAAGTGTAGATTGTTGGATTTGATCACTGTGTAAAATTATAAAAGCAGTGTGTGTTTACATAATGAACTTGCTTATCACATTCGTGTTGATTTTGTCATTTCATGGGGGGAAGGTGTTGTAACCAGGTCAGATTCTGTTTGTGACAACTCATCACTTTTGTTACTACCCTCTTAAATCAACACTTAATTCACCTAAACTTAATAGTTGTAATTTCGTTTGATTACGTAACTCTTCTTTAACAGTCGTTTGTGATAACTCATCACTTTTGTTACTACTCTCTTATATCAACATCTAATTCATCTGAACTTACTAATTGTATTTTCGTTTGACAAATTTAATGTACACACACATACAAAACAACCATATATATTTGCGATTGTACAGCTATGAGAATGAATTCGCCGAAAAAAGACTCTTCGCTGAACTACTTGTCTTCTGTCTATTAAGATTCTGTTTTAGTCCATCATTCCTATTCAGACAATTTGGATTCCACTTGATATGAAGTGCTTCTGATATTAGACGTTCTTTGTGATTCCTGAAGTTTTTCTGGATTATTTCAATATTGTCAAAATCGATTTTGTGGCCTGATTGTATAGAGTGTAAACAGGCTATGGCTCATGATTTTTCAAGTTTTTCTCGGTGGTTGAAGAGATGCTCTACGGTGTTCATTTCTTCTGATTTTGATTTATCGAGATGTTTGTCCGCTGTATATCGCATTACATTCCAAGCATTTTATTTTATAGACACAATTAGATTGAGAATCTTTAGGGATTTGGTCTTTTATGTGGACAAGGTTGCTTTGAAGTGTGTCTGATGTTTTGAAGAAAACTCTAATGTCGAGCTGATTGAGTACTCTTCTGATATCGTCTGACGTCTCTGCTCTTTATGGAATGACGACTGTTGAGGTCCATGTTTTTGGAATGCGTTTTCAGCCATACTTAATGTCTGTGTTGATTTTGTTGATGAAGTTCCTTGGGTAGTCGTTTTGCTTGAGAGTTTCAGTAATGTTTGATATTTCTTCTTTTTCTTTCTCAACCGTTATCAGAGAGTGTGCTCGTCTAAGAAGACTTGAAACAACTGAAATCTTTGCAATGATGGGGTGTGATGATTTGAAGTCTAAATATTTATTGGAGTGGGTTTTCTTCCTGAATATGGATATACTAAAATGTCCGTTTTCCCTCCTCTTAACTAGGCAGTCTAGAAATGGTAGTTCACCGACTGTTTCCGAAGTAAACTGGAATCTGGGAGATACACAGTTTATTTTCTCCAGGAATGAACTGTGTAGATCTCGTTTTAGCACTACAAAAGTATCATCTACATATCTTAACCATATTTAAGGAGTGAGTATGCTTGAAAAGATGTTATTTTCGGATCTATTCATGAAAAGGTCAGCGACCATTGGGGAGACTGGTGAACCCATGGCAACACCATTTGTCTGTCCATATAAACTCCCTTTAAACGTAAAATAATTACTTTCTAGACAGAATTTCAAGCTCTTAATTATTTCGCTGGTGTCCAGTGGACATTTTTGTGATAGCGTTGTATCTGATTCTAGTAGGCTGGAAATGATATCAAGACTTTCGGTAATAGGGATACTAGTATATAATGAGTTAATATCATAGCTTACCATAATGTCTTTTTATCAATTTCTCGGTGTTCTATTTGGGATTTGAAATCATATGAATTTCTTACAATATTTTGAGTGTCCTTTTGTAGTGGTTGTAGTACCGATGTTGTTTATTGTGAGTGCACTTAGATTTCCACACTGATTTCACAGTCATGAAGGTCTGTTTTGCCTTCCCGATTCTTGCTTTGACATCGTCATCTGTGCCACCACCTGTAGTCGGAACAGTGACGATTTAACTAACTATAATCAAAGTATACAAAAAAAAAGAATAATGTTTCGTCTAAGCGTTTCCTACCAGTCGGTGTAATGCACTACTTAGCCTTTCAGTCTAATTTGGGCAGATTTAATGAAACACACTTCGTCTATTACAGAGTTAAATGCAAATTTACAAACGACAGTAACTGTATTATATGCACACAGAACAGTGTGCGTGAATTTCTCATGAATAAAAAGTAGCCTAAATAATGAAAAATGTTCACCAACGCTAGAACACAAATTACTACAATTATATTCAGTACTTATAAACAAAAGATCTTTGACTCTGTCAGATATATAAACTTCTCAGTGCCTTTTTCATGATGATGATGATGATGACGGTGACGGAATACTTCAGCATGTGTTGAGTCTGCAGTCTTTTTTTCTTTTCCTTCACGTTCCCCAGTGGAACATAGGGCCTCAAGCTAGTGGCTTGAAGTTTCTGTAGCAGTGTTTATTTTTACAGGATGGGGTTGCTAGCCTCATGCCCAACCTTTCCTCTTTACCAGCTTTATTTCTGGCTTAACGAGGTAAAGGAGTGCGTCGGTCGGGGATCGAACCCCGGACCATGTGCATGGTCGGCGAGCGTCCTAACCGCTATGCCACCGACGCACAGTCTAAAATGTCTGAAATAAATTTACAGAAAAATCTCCTTACAATAATCCAGTACAATATTGACAATATGTACGTGTTGAATCTTTTCGAATTCAACAGTAAACATTTTGAATATTAGTAATATATTAACAAATTTCACTTGTTAGATTTCATTGTGGTTATTAACCATATAAAGCTTATTGAACATTTACTTCACTTATATAAGGCATTGTCTTCACATACAGCTACTACGTTCGGTGAAGTATCTATTTTAAGCAAATCAAAGACAGGTTTCTATTTTACAGTAATATATATATATATATCTTCAAATGTTAAGATTGTGAGGACTGAGTTGATTTCAAGGTTGATTTCAGAAAATGACTGAAGTTAATATTTATGTATTCTTAGATCCCGACTGCGTAACTTGCCTAGTAATCTAAAGCTCCTGAGTGTGGTCCCTGGTGGGGTCATGCATAGGATACGCATTGCCGTAGATTCCCAAAGTAGAAGGAATTTTCTAACCAGTGTTTATTGGCTTTCATTACTTCTTTGTTACTGACCATGATAAAACCACCAGTCTTGATTCAAATAATGGAATTATACGAAAAAAGAATGTTGTTTAGGGGATATTTTCCTTCTCATGAGTTTTACTCACCAAAAAAAAAACAACAACAAAAGAATCTATCGTGTACATTAATTCATCCATTTCACAGCTAAAAAAAGTATATGTTTTTGCCAACTTCGTTTGTTTTTAGTTAAATTATGATCACGTATTTTCGGATAAAGATACCGTCACCACCACCACCAACCTTTTAAACGAATTTCCTCTCGTGAACAAAGGAAAATATAAAAGTTTTCTGATGTTAAGAGTTTATAATCTCTATTTCTCTCTTTGGGATAATTTTGACACCGAACAAAATGAACTTAGCCTATTTTTCACAACGATAGTATATATATATATATATATATATATATATATATAATATATGGACATACGCGTTTTCTTCCATGAATCACTGGTTAACTGTATGAATCATCACATGCATTTTTCACTTCATTTTTCCTAATATCGATTCACCTTTATGTTGACATTTGTACGAAGGTCACACTAGTTGTTTCATTTATACATTCTTTCTTTGGTTATTTAATGCTTTGTAGAAAGCAAACAAAATATGTTTATTCTCCTCAAGGCCATTTAAAAAATGTTTGGTGTAGCAGACATAGAAATGAAATTATTCACTATTGGTTGTTGAAAATGGCCTCATTCATCTGAGTTAATTAGAAGTAAGTTGTTCGTGAACAGTGTTGTTTATTGACAGCGAAAAATAATAGTCGAATGCTTTTAGCAGTAGACAGCATTTCAAACCGTATTTCTGTGGCTCTCAGGTGTCAGTCAGTCAGTCGAACAACTTTTTAAAGAATCACACAAATGTGTTTCTTAACTATTGAAATAGAAATACGAAAATCATTTCGGGACAGAAGAACAGGAGAATTAGTGAAACAGTTTATTATATGCTGGCATGAGAGATTTCTTTAGTCACACTTACAAAACATATACTGTCCGTCAGCCAAATTGAAAGTACGACTTCGATGTTGTAGTTAGCATAGCTGATGTGGGAAAAGTGATACATGGTGAAACTAAGCAGTTAAAAATTTTAATATGATCTAGCTTTGAATGACGCATAAACCTTTTTCTAGCAATAGATAATCTTTTAACTGATTAAAAATTCCCATTAAAATTTTTTAAAAGAATGATTACTGAACAAAAAAATATTCTTTTCGATAACTTCATCATCACGTTCTACAGCTATATATATATATATATATATATATATATATATTGTATATATGATAGCGAATGAATTAGTGGTATTAACAACATTAATGTTGTTTAACTATCATCGAATCAATTATAATATCAATGGATTACAGTTCGATAGCACCAAAATAATATTGAACTGTTGATGGTTTCTACTACACCTTTATTTAGCCACATTGGTAGATGTTCTCGAGCACGAAAAATCAAGTTCCTAGAGCAATAGCCAATATAACTCGCCCCGCAGGCGCAGTCGAATCGGTAAATACAATTAGAAGTGGCTAGTCTATGACACAGAAAAATTCGTCAATGCTGGCTTTGTGGCCAGTTTGGACCAGCTGGACTAATATCGAACTGTTCATGGTTTTTACTGCAAAACCGATGGTGATTCCTCAGCTGAAAGATGAAGTACCTGGACTAGTCACTTCTGACTGTATCTACCGATTCGACTGAGGCTGTGGGGCGAATTATATTGGCTGTGGCTCTAGGAACTTGATTTCTCGTGCTCGGGAAAATCTTCCAGAATGGCTAAGTAAAGGTTTAGCAGAAACCATCAACAGTTCAATATTAGACCACCTGGTTCAAACGAGCCAGAAAGCCAGCACTGAAGAATCCTTCTCCATCATCTACCGGGTACCAAATAAATTGCCAAAAACATCCAGGTACCGAATACTTCAAACAGCAGAGGTTTTCGCAACCCACCTTAAACAACAGGTACTGTGTGTGCAGAAGAAGCAAATCCAGCCATTACTACTGTCCTGGCCTTGAGTAGAAACTATAAATCCGTGAATTTGTATTATTACCTTTCCTAATTTTTCTGATATTCGGTGTATTGTTATGTTGGTGCTATCGAACTGTAGTCCATCGATATTATAATTGATTCGATGAAATTTAAACAACATTAATGTTGTTAATACCACTAATTCATTCACTATTATGTATATATATAACTGTAGAACGTGATGATGAAGTTATCGAAAAGAGTAATTTTTGTTCAGTAACCGTTCTTTTGAAAAAGATAATCTTTTTACAAATTAATGTTGTCAACAGTTATGTGGTTATTTCATACCATTTAACAAATAAACGTTCTCAAAAGGATTCACAAAATTATCAAAAATACTTCCTGAGTACAACTCAATCACCAAACTATTCATATTATTACGTAACTCCTTTTTAACAACTGTTTGTGACAGCTCATCACTTTTGTTACTACCCTAATTTAATTAACACCCAATTTTCTTGAACGTTTTTGTATTACGTAACTCAACCAAAAGCTTACTAATTCTCACCTGTTTGGTTAAAATAACCATAAGCAGTTATATTTTTGTTTGACAAACTTAATGTACAAATACATACAGACTTTCTTTAACACGTATCGACATATTCTGTTTAAGAAACTTTAAAAACGGAAGCATAATGCAATACTCAAAGTGAAATTTAGATAAATATTCAGCGGCTTTTCTTGTAATCACTTAGTTAAACGTATTTGGTGAAATTAAATGATATGTTTATTTACAACGGATAATAGTTTGAATAAAGAGAGAATGAACATATTTACAGGATAATACGAACTCGTTTTATTTCATGGATTCTCTTCAACTGCATGCATCCCACACAAAATCAAATTATAAGTTATGAGATTCCCGAACATACTTTTCCACAGTGACTTCGAGCTATAGATAGAACCTTACGCAACTGGACAAAACACAAAAGCGCATGAATAAAACAATTACGATTACCAGGGATATAAGCGATTAGTCACTTTACCTTACGGCGTACAGATATTGGTTTGAGGTCTTTAGATAACAGTGACTTCTGCAAACCAAAGTAACCGTGATTTTCTTTGTGTATTGATTATTTCGAAAGCCTAACTAATTTCCACCGTATGTCCTGTGTCGATCAGGTGTCTGGCAATTGTGCATGAGAACACTTTTCTACCTTTTATACGAAGACTTTTAGGGATATGCTGCGAAAATTGAGTAGACACTCTCTTCTCAGCCTTTCCTATGTACTTGCTGCCGCAAGTGTAGGTGAGTTGGTAAATGCAGCTGGAGTTGACATGAGTAGGATACTTATTACTTTTGACTGAGTCAATCAGCATACTGTGTTGTAAAGTGGAATGAGTTTGGCGGAGGGAAATATTGTTTTCAGTGAACTCTTATTTCTTTTTCCGTTCTTGTAGATACCTCTTTTAAGTGTGTTCATGTGCTTTCGCTGTTTGTCCTATTGCGTTCCACTTAATTTTGATTTTGATTTTCACTTA